GAAAGTTGAGTAATGGCTATGAAATCAATGTCCTGTATTAGGTTCCTAAAGATAGTGTTTTGTGCATGCTTACAAAGATTATTGGGACAATATCTTGCCTTAGAGAGAAAAAAGATAGGGAAAATCCATCATACCAGCTCAAAAACAGATATCATCTAGAAGAAAAAGGCACTCCTAGTGTTCAGAGATAGTGGTAATAATGTTCCTGAATCAAACTATTAAGATAATCCATTGTTATTACTGAGATGACACCAGTTCATGAAGTTTATTCTCAAAAAACTGTGCTTCTGGGGACTTTTGCCATTCCCTGAGGTTTCAGATTGATAAGGTGACAATTTTTAACATTCGTTACACAACAATTGTAAAAAATGAGTTTCTGATTGACTTATAAAGATAATAGTGATTTCATTTATATGTAATTTAAGCAAATTTAGCTATGAGCAAAATACTGAATTAACTAAATGATGAGTGATATAACTAAGCCATGGCCCCTGGGAAAGTACAAATTTAAAGTAAAAGTAATTATTGTTCAGTATTTTCAGGGGTGTTAAAATCGATATAACACATATACAAACGTATGAAAAAGTTTAATGTCAACAGTTTCCCAACACACACACACTAACACACACACACACACCAATGGTTGTTTTATAATGAGGAGGCCAAATTATTTGGCCACAGCCTCATACCAAGCATTACTTAATGAGGGGACATGGTGAAATAGTACTGAGAAGAGGGATTCCTTCAGAGGAAAGACAGTTTTCTGAACATCAGCCTTGAAGACATCTTTCCTATCTAAAATCAGGACATCCATCCATGAACCTCCCTCTGAAATACGGGAGGAGACTCATAAGTGCACCAGAGGAGAGATTTTGAGAAGACTTGTGAGCCCCTTTGCAAAGTCATTTAGCAGAATGCTTGCACATCAACAAAGAAAATCTGTTTCCTGCTACTGCATATATTATACAGCAGAAAGTTAAAAGTCTGTGAGGAAAAACTCTTACAAATTTGATAAGTTGTCTTTATGAAACTGTACTCAGAGCTGCTCCAGGTAGAAATTCTTTTTTTTTAAAGATTTATTTATTTATGCATACAAGAAGTGACACAGGCCAGAGGTGCAGGGAGGAGGTGAGAGGACCCACCAGAGACAGAGTGGGGAACAGAACAGGCAGATTGACTAAAATACACTGCTGAGGGGAGCAGTGGGTGAGGCAGGAGAGGTCTGCTGTGCCATGTGGGTAGCTCCCTGGCCAGGGATCGAACTAGTGTTGCAGAGGCTGTGGATAGCTTCATAGTTGCTGTGCTTAACCCCTCGCGCCACCAGGTAGGCCCCGGGTAGAAATTCTTAAGAATGCTACTTAAGAACAGAAATATTCGGGCTGGTAAAAGCAGTATGTTCTCCTGTGACCATATGTGTATGGACCAAAAGTGCTTCCATTCAGTACATTCATTTCACTTATTCCTTCTGGGGATCCAAGCCTGGATGAAATTCTTACCTTTTCCCAAAGCTGAATGGCTGTCTAGTTTTTCATCTAAGAACAATCAAACCCCTACAGGGGACATTTTGTAGGTTTCCACCAGGATTTATATTACCAAATCAGTGGCCAGCAGGAGGAGTATGATCAGACAGTGGTTTACTTCAGACACTTGACAGGTCTAAGTAGGCATGATTTAAAATGTTGGGGGAAGGCCTCCCTGGTGGCTTAGGAGTTAAGTCTCAGTGCTACCACTGTGCCTGCCCTACCTCAGCAAAGTGGTCTGAGTTCGAGCAAACCCACATGACACAGCAGACCTCTCCTTTCTTGTCTGCTGCTCCCCTCAGCCATGTATTTCAGTAGATCCATTGTTCTGCTTCCCACTCTGTCTCTGGTGAATCCTGTCATCCCTCCCTACCCCCCACACCTTTGGCCTACACCCAGTTCTTCTTGCAAAAATAAATAAAAAAGTAAAAATCTAAAAATAAACAAACAAATAAATAAATAAAATGTTTGGGACACCTAGGGAGGACGAGGAGAGTTTTCAGTGTGCACACCCTGTGGAGGGTGCCATTTACACACACCACCAAGTGAATAGCATGTAGGGTATAATGTCTTCATCTAGAGAGAGAGACAAATTTGCAAGTATGGGGGTGGTTCGGAAAATGTTTTTCTTTCATATAGGTCTCATTCAAAAGAATTAACTCTAAGAGGTAGTACTATAATCCATGTTTTACTGATGAGAAAACAGGAACTGAAAGGTAATACGGAAAAACTGATTTCAGAAACTCTATCTCCCCTTTTCCTTATCTGCCTTTAAGTAATCCTTTTATTTTTCAGTCATAAATGCACCCTTGTGTCCAAGATGGCTGCCCCTTCTCCAGCTCTAATTACTTTCAACCTGCATGCATGCCCCATCATGTTGACGCATTATCTCATATTCCATATTTCATTACTTTCAAATTTCATCTGCTCTGTATCTAGATCCTGGTATCTAGCTGTTTTCCAGATTAATAAGTATCTGATTTTTAAAAATCTCTCTATAAAGTATAAATGTATTATAATTAGGCTTTAACATTTTTAAGTCCTTTTATACTTTGTTCTCCCCTCCCCTGCTTTTATCTTTTCCATCAATAAAATTAACCAAAACCCAGAAAATATGTAATAGATTGGTAGGCAGATGATAGATACACACACATACTTTTATGGACTGAATTGTGGACTGCAACATTCATATATTGAAGACATAACCTCCCACTCTAACTGTTTAGAGATAAAAAACTTCAGGGTGGTAATTTATTTAATATGAGGTTATAAGGATTGGGCCCTAATCCCATAGGACTTATGTCCTTATAAGATGAGACACCAGCCATTGCTATCTCTTTCCATGTGTGTGAGCACAGAGAACAGTCCACATGAGGGCACAGCGAGAAGGCGGTCATCTACAAACTAGGGAGAAACATCTTTCAACATTTACTGTTTACTTCAGAACTGTGAGAGAATAAATCGTGGTACTTTTTTATGACTGTGCAGGCAGACGAATGATACTTTACTGAACATGTTCCTATTCTAGATGTTATGAATGGAATGTAACAATTTGATCTTATACAGTTGTGAATGCTATAGTAGGAAGAAGTATAGCTGACGTACTAAAAAAAAAATTCTTACTCAAGGTCCTCACAGCTTGGAAATTCTAATGGCTAATATCCATGCAATTCAGTGGGTACAAATTATTAAATATTGCAAATCTTTAGTCTTGGCACTGTAGGTCTAATGCATTGTAAATATTGAAGTCCCATATGGTGACAAGAAAAATCATGTAAGAATTCTCTTATTTCTCTATTTCTGTGCTTTATGTACTTGGGATTCTTGTCAGTGTGTCACTTCCTTATCATCCCCTCCCCCCACAGGGAGTGTCAACTTTCTTCCAAATTTTGGAAGAAATATGGACATAAAGCAGTAACATAAAATTTGCATAACATTTTGTTAAAACATGACACTAGAGAAGTTCTAGTGAGCATGTCTGCCCATTAACTTGATCTCTACTGTTACTCTCTGCTCCTGGGAGTATTTTGATGGAAAACCTTATAAAATGCTACAACAGATAAATCTTACTAATTAGACAGGAACTAATTTGGATAGGGTTTCAGATTTATTTGCAAGTGTCTGGTGCTCATAAGTAGATTGAGAGAGAGGATAAAATTATCCTACTGCCACACATCTAGCCCTAGACAGACAACTTTCAAAAGTAGGCAATTGTTGGGCCTCCCCCGGTGGCGCAGTGGTTGAGCGCTGCTGGGCTGCAAGGCTGCCCGCACCCTGGCCGCTGGCGAGGGTCCCACAAAAAAAAAAGAAGAAGTAGGCAACTGTCAAAAAGAAGGCAGTGTGGGAATTGTGGTCAACTCAGGGAAACCTGAATCTAACTCAAAGTACAACTCTTTTCAGAAAGCTGTTGTAAGGTCATCTTGTGTTATTTAAGGTACCAGTTACATTTCCCTTTTTGGTTTTCCTTTGGTCTTTGTAAAATTGCCAAGCAAGACCCACTGTTCTTTAGTCAGAGGTAAACATGTAACTCAAGTAAGGCCAGTTAGATTCTCCTTCTAAGGACATGACTCTTGAGGGGAGGGAAGCTGACATTGATCCTCACAGGATTGCTACATTCTGCCAGGGGAACACTGAAGAAGCTGAGGGTTTCTCCAGGGTGCTTTCTGCCTGGGGCCCTGGAGCAGTTCTGATTCCCATACTTTCCACATTCTTCAGCTTTTCCTTTGATTCTGTGAGCAATGCCCAATCTTTATAATCCATTCTTTCTTGCTTGACTCAGAATCAGTTTTTTTTATTGCTTGCAGTCAAAAACCAGTAGTTCTAGGCCCACAGCATTTCACATGCAAAAATAATCACCTTTTTATTTGATAAAATGAACTACTCAATTTGCAGGAAGTTAGCCAGATGGCAGTTTTATTGGACATTGTTATTTGTCCAGGCTTCAGTATAAGGCACATACAAATTACTTTTAAAATGGAAGGAATCTATATCTTCTTACCATTGTTCCTTTTCTACTTTCCTCTCCCCATTTCAACTTATCTTAACCCTCATTTCATTCTTTAAAAAAAGAAAAAGGAAAACTTACAAAAAAGAATCTTACCTATCAAAATGTATTGTGAATTTATGCTAAAGAGATTAAACATTTTTTTTCCATAGCACAAAGGATTTGTAGGGCAGTAAAACTATTCTGCATGTTACCATAATGTTAAATATGTGTCATACATTTGCCTCAATGCTGAGAGTGAAGCCTAATGTAACCTGTGGACTTAGGTGTCACTACATGTTTAGTGTGGGCTCATTGTAGAAAGCGGGGAATATTGATAGTGGGAGAGACGATGCATGTGTGGGGGTGAGGGATATATGAGAAACCCTGTGCCTTCTTCTCAATGGTGCTGTGAATCTAAAACTGATCTAAAAATGCAGTCTATTTCACAAAAAAGAAAGGAAAAACTATTTCTAAACAGCAAAAAAAGTTCATATTTAGTCTATTTCATAATCATAGTAATCATCATCCATGTTAACTCTGATGCTGGAGGACTCCTCTGGCTTTGATTTCTTTTTGATCTCTTTGCTTTTCTCGGTCAGAAGTAAGTGATGCTCACAATGCCTCATGATCTTCTTGGAAGACATCCAGTTCTCTCCCTGTTGCTCAGCTGGCGCTGCACATTGTCCTCCCCTCACATCTGTGCCTTTGGCCTTCAAGACCTCCCTTGCTTGTAGAAGACTGCATGTGCAATTCCATGGGTTTCCATCCAGATACAGGTGCCTGAGGCGAGGCAGCCCCTCCAAGGCTTTGAGGTCTAAGGCAGAGATCTTGTTGTTCCTAAGGTTTAGAACTTGAAGCTGCTTTAGATCCTTGAGCTCCCTCTCAGCTATATCTTGAATGGCATTGCCTTTGAGGTCCAGCCTGGCTAAGGTTCCTGGAAGCCTGCAGAAGCATGGAAGCAAGACAGGAGAGGAGGTGTGACCATCCATAACTGCCAAGGCAACTCGGACTGAGCATCACTCACCTTTTCTAGACATTCATTTCTGTTTTTTCTGAACAGACGTGTTTTGAAAAATTAATTATAAATGCAAGTCTCAGGTTTATCTATAGGTCTTAAATCCTTACTTACAGGTAAGTAATCCTTTGATTTTCCCGGTTTTTAGTCAGAAAACTCTAAATTTTTCTTGTTCAATTGGACCCTGTAAGCATATTCATAGGAAAAACACTAAATTCCCAATCATATACATATGATATGCTAGTTTCTCAGGGACAAATAGAAATAAGAATGCATATATACATATAAAGTGAAACTGGGGAAAGAAAGGATAGAGTAAACCAAAGAGCCAAGTCTCTGCATTAGGAGCCAAGCTTCAACTTTCCCCATTCTACTGACTAGTATGTGAGTTTAAGTTAGTTACTTAGCTTCTTAAGATTTCTGATTTTCTACCCTACAGGTAGAAGTGCTTAGTACACGGAAGTCACATAATATGTTAGCTAATTTGTCTTTTAGACAAATATTCAGTTCTGGAGTAGGTATCTAAAAATTGTAGCTGCTCTTAGGAGTACTTTTTTTAAAAAATCTGATTTATATAAAAAGGTAACTCTGATTTTAAAACAAAACGTATTACTACAAATGTTATATTTTCTGTGGGTAGTCATTGCTTCTAGGGTAAGCAGAGAGACTCTCCATTTTGCCAGCAGATGGCACTTGAGAGTTAAAATAAAATACGAACTGCCTCTGTTAGGTGGTGGAAAGCTATTCTGGGTTTGAATTATCCAAAGTGGATAAAGAAGAGATGGTGGAACTTATATTTGTTCACTTCTCTGCAGACTGGTGAAATGCTAAGCAGTAAATCCTGATTCTACCACTTACTGTGCAGGTAACTTTGAGCAAATTTCTTAACACCTTTTAGTCCCAATCTGTAAACTAATAGGACAAACAATGTAACCAATATATATGCTTTCACAGGATTGCTCTAAGAAGTTTACAGGGAATAACACATGTATGTAAGTTCACTGCTGGTCTTGGTAAGCATTTGCTAAGTATTAAGTATTCAACAAAAGTGAATCCTAGAAATCTGACTGTAGAATTGAGGCTACCAGAGCAGGAGGGAAAATGGGGAGCAGAATATAGAGGGGGCCCAGTGGACTACAGAGGAGGACCATCGGTGCATTGGTGGTGGGTGTGTTGTGGTAACATACATCTGAAGAGGTGTGAGCCTGTATCGCTAAATCATATACCGTGTTGTAAACCAATGTTACTGCAATAAAAAATTATATATATAAATATTCAGTATTATTTTCTATCTTGATTAGCATATTGAGGTAAATGTGGTAGATATTTAAATACATGGAAAAACAAGACAATAATACACCATTATTGTCTTGATAAATGTACAATGAAGGAGGGTGGACAAAGGAGGGATTTGTGAAAACAGTTTGTGATAGGAGTAGGTTGCCTGTGTTTTCAGTTATAGAAACCTGAATTTTAAAATACAGTTTTCTGTATGAATAAAAAGGATGAAAATAAAATGGAAAGGTGTACTGTTTAAAGCTCATTAATGAAAGTCTGAAAAGTAAAATATAAGGAATAGATTTTATTGTGTTTTAATTCCTTTTGGGAGGAAAACACAAGAAACTTTCTTTTTTCCACTTTCTAATTCAAAGAAAAGGTAGGGGATTGTTGGTGATAGGGAGTTCAAAGTCACTCTCAGAGCTTACCAAGGTCTCTGACAGAGCACTCAGTTGCATGACTTAGTTTAAACCTCATAGGGAAAACCCACTTCCACCTCATTTTACTGCCCCATTGTGGTGCTCACTCCTACTCACTTAAACTCATCTGGAGAGCTTTAAAAATAGAAATGCCTCGGCCCCACCCCTGGGGTGTCTAATTAAATTGGTTTGTAGTGAGGTCTGAGCATGAGTATGATTTTTAAAAGGTCTCCAGATGATTCTAATGTGAAGTCAGATTTGAAAATTGTTGCTAGCTCAGGCTTGCAATTCCATTATACACTCTACTGGGTAAAGCACTGTGATTTCTGTAGTCACCTATTAAAACACTAATACCCTGCCAAGAGTAAATAATTAAGCTATTTTTTAATCATTAAACTTAGCAGGATTACTTAACCATATGCTTTCTAAAAGTCACCTGAGAAAAAACTCCACCAAGTTCACAGTTTTGCCCATTGTTGTCATGGCCTCCTGAGAATCCATATGTGATGGCCCTCCTTTTGTATGAGTTTGCATTTTATCCACTGTATTTTATCCAGTAGGAGCTTGCAGCCATAGAAAATAAGGCTTAAACCATTGTAGAGAATTTATTTATTTATTTATTTATTTTTTATTTTATTTATTTATTTTTTTTATAGAGGCATGCTTTATTTATTTGTTTGCTGGTTTGTTTGTTTGTTTTGTTTATACATGTACTAGGCACAGTCAGAAGCGCGGGAGGGTGAGAGAATTCACCAGAGCCAGAGCGGAGAGCAGAGCAGGCAGAAGGACCGAAGTACACTGCTGAGGGGAGCAGCGGGCGGCAGGAGAGGTCTATGCGCCATGTGGGACCCTCCTTCGGTGGCCGGGGAGCAGCCGGGGATCGAACCGGCGCCGCAGAGGTCGCGCGCAGTTTCGCAACCCAGCGCTCAACCACTGAGCCACCCGGGAGGCCCTAGAGAATTTATTTAAATAACAAGGTTTTAGGAGTCTTGCAACACTGCAGACATGTTCTTGCCTGAGGGCCTTTGAACAGGCTGTTTGGTCAAGAACATTTACCCCCTATAGCTAAATCCTTCACCTCCTTCCAGTCTTTAGTCAGAGCCAACTCTTTCAGGAGAGTAATAGGGCTTGCCCTATTTAAAATCACGGCTACCCCTACCTCCCATAGAGTCCTGAGTCTGGTAATCCTGTCCTTTTTTGTTATGGTTAACTATACACCCAACAGCACCTAAGTATTACAGAATTTACTTATATATATATTTTTTTCTTTTTAAGATTTTTTTTTTATAGCGGCATGCTTTATTTATTTATTTATTTGTTTGTTTGTTTGTTTGTTTGTTTGTTTATACATGCACTGGGTACAGTCAGAAGTGCGGGAGGGCGAGAGAATTCACCAGAGCCAGAGCGGGGAGCAGAGCAGACAGAAGGACCGAGGTACACTGCTGGGGGGAGCAGCGGGTGGCAGGAGAGGTCTGCGCGCCATGTGGGACCCTCCTCCGGTGGCCGGGGAGCAGCCGGGGATCGAACCGGTGCTGCAGAGGCTGCGGGCAGCCTCGCAACCCAGCGCTCAACCACTGCGCCACCGGGGAGGCCCTACTTATATATTGTTTTAATTGTCACTCTTTCTCTAGAATATATACAGAATAAGAAGTTTTTTCTCTTTAATTACACTGATGTATCCCCAGTGTCCCATAAAGTACCTGATACATGATAAGTGCTCAAAATATATTTGTTGAATTAAATCAATTACATGCACATGCTTATGCATTTGTAGAAACTGATTACTTTTAAGCCACTTTTAATATATATATTTTTTCAGTTGAAAATTTCAGTTGAAAAAAACTCTTTTGGTATATAGTTACCATACTGTATAATAAAAAATCCTTTTTCAACTAGAAAAAAATGAACATATGTACATATTAAGGATAACTTCCCTCTCTCATTTAATAAGGAAATAAGTAAGATTCTCCAGAAACCAGGAGAAATTGGTATATTCATTATAAGAAATTTAATGAGGACCTCCCTGTTGGTGCAAAGGTTTAAAGTCTCAGCCCTATCAAGCTATCCCTGGCCAATAGGGCAATAGTTCGATTCCCAGCCAGGGAGCAAGCCCACATAGCACAGCGGACCTCTCCTGTCTCACCCCCTACTCCCCTCAGCAGTGTATTTCAGTAGATCCCACTCTGTCTCTGGTGGGTCCTTTCACTCCCTGCACCTCTGGCCTACACCCCAGTTCTTGTATGCATACAAAAATAAATGGAAATAAATCTTAAAAGAAATTTAACGATAATAAGAGGGCAAGAAAACATTTTTCCCATAAAGTATTTAAAGGAAAAATCTCTGATAGCTACATAGTATAAACAACACATTTTCTTTTTAAAGAGAATAATAGTGTTTTATTCTTCTGTTTTTTAAGTTCTAATTTAAATGTAGATCATGGAGTAACAAATAAATGGGATTCATTAACATAAACACATACATTATAGATTATGACATAAAGAAAGCTACAGTGGGTTGGGTATAAAGGGAGGAATATTTGAGAGAAGTTATGTGTTGGAGTATGAATGAGCGAGTGTGTGTGTGTGTGAAAGAGAGAGAGAGAAACAGATGATAAGACTGACACGGATGGAACTGATATACTCATATACAGACACACAGAGAAATAAGGGCTGGCTAAGTCCTTAAAAGGTCACAGCACTTTAATTCAAAAGGGCACCTGCACCCCTATGTTTATAGCAGCACTATTTACAATAGCTAAGCTATGGAAACAACCCAAATGCCCAAAAATAGATGACTGGATCAAGAAGATGTGGTACATATACACAATGAAATATTACTCAACAATCAAAAAAGATAAACTCATGCAATTTGCAGCAACATGGATGGGACTGGAATTTAGAAAACCTAAATAAAAGACCAGGAGAAAGACTAATTGTAATAAAGTAAAAATCAATATCAACAAGCAACTATAAACCAGAGACACACTATGGGAGTGGGGTGTGAGGAGGTGGGATTAGAGTCAAAATAAGGGGGGGTGGGAATTTATGGGGACTATAACCAAGATGAAAAAGCATACATTGTGCAAAAATGGAAAATGATGTAAAAAATATATAAAATAAAATATAAAATTTTTTAAAAAATTTAAAAATGGGGAAAAAATGGTCACAGCACTGAGAAAAATATGAGGTTCCCAAATATGTAATTCAAGATAGATGTAATATTATAAGGTTGTTTCCATAACTATGATTTCAATGCTTTTAAAAATATAAATCTCTTACATTTCTCCCTCATTTTCCCTCATGTCTGCTTTTTTAGTGGCTAAGCATGTGCTTAGTCTGCCTGTTGGTTCATCCAGGCCATAGACTTAGAAACCAATGCATACTTTTTACAAGTATTAGCCCCACACTATGTTTGTTAGCATATTTCCAAAAGCTGTCGTGCATATTTTCAAATCTAAATCTCACTTCTTGTTGCCTTGTCCCACAGACAAGATAAATTAAGTTATAGCAGAGTTCAGCTTGAGGCTGCGATTGCAAACCCCTATTTAAAACTTCTGCCCCTAAACCCTTGCATAACCATAATCTGCCCATTTGTGTTTGCTCTAGCTAGTTTTCTTGAATTGATATATTGTGCCAATTGTCCCAACCTGGGACAATTTTATAATAACTATAATAAATGATACCGCTCACCCACCTCAGAGGAATGGACAGCAGCAGGTTCTGCTCCAGGGCCAGGTTGGAGAGCTGAGAACACCTCTGCAGGGCTCCCGCTTCAAACACGCTGACGATGTTGTTGTCCAGAAACAAGTGTTTTAGGTCTCGGAGGTCCTGGAAGTCTTGCGCTGTAACTCTCTGAATCAGATTATTACTGATATCAAGTTTTTGTAGCCTTGTTGGCAGTCTGAGGGGCAACATTTGAAGCTGGTTTTGGGATAACTCAAGAGTAGTTAAATTGGCAAGGAGTTGTGCCCCATCAATGGAAGAAAGTGCATTTTTTGACAGATAAAGATGGGAAAGATTCTCCAAGTGTTTCATGTCTCGAAATCTTACCACTTTGAGCTGGTTTCTCTCCATCTTTAAAGAGAGCAAGGACTTGGGCAGATTATTGGGGATTTTAGTCAGAAAGTTACCACTGAAACTGAGAAATTGCAAAGACTGAAGAGAAGCAAAGAAGCTAGCTGGTATTAGATGTAGTTTATTATTCTCCATGCTCATTCGTGTCAGATGGGGAAGTGTCAGTGGTCCTGCTATAGACTCAATGTTATTGTCATCCAATATCAAACTTTGCAAACTGACAAGGGAGGAGAGTGTGCTGGGAGCAAGGGAAGAGATTAGGTTATTTTTAAGTTCAAGAATTTTTAATTCCTTCAGTCCTTCAAAATCAGATTCACGTAGGACGTATATAGAATTATCATTTAGTTTTAATACTTCAAGACTAGCAGGGAGAGTACTGGGGACTTGTCTTAACTTATTTTTCCAGAGTTCCAAGGTCTTCAAGGTACTCAGAGTTTTGAAGGTGTCATTTTCTACAGACTCTGTTCCACTGGCCAGCAGAATAAAATCTTCTAGAGCCAATATTCCGGTGAAGTTAGAGAGCTACAAATAAGAAGTAGGTGAGGAGAAAATCAGTAAATTGAAACTGTTGCGAGAAAAAGTTCATCTATACTACCATTCAAATCAATGATACTTCTTTTCCTTCAACATCTATTTAAAAATTTCTCATGGAAAAGGGAGGAAGCTCAGGTTGTGACTATCTTTATTCCTGAATACTGAGTGTTAGGTATCAAAAATATTTTAAGCACTTTCACACGCTATTAGTAGACATACAATATTGGCCTACTTTGGCTGGATGTTCTCTGACTCAGCAAGTTCATTTCTATGCAGAAATACTTACAAATTGCACAATGATATTTGCAATGGAATGTTTACTGTTGCATCATCTCATGATAGACAAAAATTGAAACCATCTGGAAATCTGTCGCCAAACTAGAAACAGTTACTAACTCTCAGGTATAAGATTACAACAGATTTTCACTAGACATTTTTTTTAAGTTTATAAATTACATTTTAAATTTTTGTTAAAAGGGTTAAAACAATTTAAGCTAGACATTGCTCAAATAGGATGGGCTTTTCAGAGAAATATTGTCAGTTATCTTATATTTTGGAAAACTATTCTCTCTACTCCCCAATTTTCACTTGGCTAATGAAGTGGATCTATGAAGAAAAGAACAGCATACATGTGTGTCCTATCTCTGAAAAGGAAGGAGTCCTTACTACCTACAGTTTTCTAAATGTTTGGTTTAATTATACACTGAGACATTTTATAATAACAGTGCATGATTAACATTTTCAAAGTAGGTTAATTTTACATCACGTATTTTTTATAGGTACTTAAATTCAGGGAGGACTTGTGATATGAATTATAGTATATTTTAAAGTATCTCCTAATATGATATTCTATTAGAAGAATTTAATGTTAAAATTTTCATAAACAAATTTTTAATCATAACAGTTTTGTCAGTTATCAGTTGGATTTTATGTTACAGTTAACATCTGATATTTTCTTAATGATTAGTCACTTGTATTGATTAGTCCTAATCCCAATAATAATAGCATTTTTTTTTCCTTGAGCTTTTTTTAGTATCTATAAGGGTCAAGTACTTTTTTATATGTTATCATTAATTATTCTAGTAACCCGGAAAAATGTTTTTATGATTAAGCTGAAAACTGAGAATTTAAATAAAGTCTATTGGACTACAAAACCCTTTCTTCCTTAGTTTACCATTTTCTATTGTTTTGGGTATATAATGCTTCTTAAAAAAGAGTCAAGATTTGAACATAGATCATGCTTTTAGAGAAGCAGTGATTTTAGAGTTTAATTAATCCAAATCTCTCTTTAGGGATAAAGAATTTCGGGTCAAAAAAAAAGGGCCCATCTATGACTCAGTGTTCTTGATGCTCCTTTCCATTCTGAAGTGTCCTTTTCTAAAGTCTGAAATGATTCTACAGGTAGATCTTCACTTCTTGAACTATTGATCTCCCAGAAGAACTTGGTGTCACTAATGCTTCCGCTTCTGAGTGATGACAAACCCTAAGATTTCTGTTTGTGTAGCAAGTGTTGGAGATGATACAGACCTAGAAAAAGTCTGGTGTCAGACCTTCAATGTGTCTTTATTTCTATTTGTAAAGTATATGAAATTTTGTAAATAATATATATGGTTCATATTCTTAACTGAATCCAATGGAGCATTGTCTTATTAAGCATGAAAACCATTTTCTTTTTGTCATAGTCATTGCATAGTACCTTTGATTATTATTAATTAAAATAACTAAAATTTTCTATGTATTAACTATGTTTAATCTTTACAAAGCTGTATATATAAGCATATTTATCCCCTTTTCATAAAGGGAAACTGAAGTGCAAGAAAGTGAAGTAAACTCTCTAAGTGTATCTTGCTAGCATTTGGAAAAACTGAGCTTCCAAACCCAGGTTTATCTTGTTCAAATACATATATTTTTAACTTTACTGTGATAAATGCATTTTGCTGAAGAATATAGAGTTTTGATGCCACCAACAGTGAGGAAACACCCACTGATTCTCAGCTTCTCAGTTGTTTGCAGGGCTGATTCAGGGGGGAAAATTCTATCAGGCTGGTTTTTACTTTCCATGACCTAAGCAGAGGTGGAAAGTCATGCTTTGCCCTCCAGCTAAACTTCCGGGCTTCTGGCAGTCATTTCAATGTGGCTTATAAAGTTTTAAATGTTGCTAAAAACATGGAGCTCCAATATCAAAAGATGAATGCATGCCTGGGTACATAGCAGCACTGTCCTCAATTGACAGGTTATGGAATCAAACTAAGCACCCTTCAACAGATGAATGGATATTGAAGCTGTAGAATATATACTCAATGGACTACTACACAGATGTAAAAAGAGATGAAGTAGTGACTTTCGGGACAAAATAGATGGACTTCAAGGTGATTATGTTAAGTGAAATAATTCAGAAAGTGAAAGATACTGGCTAGATTTACTGATTGGGGGAAAATAAATACCCCCCCCCCAAAAAAAAAGAAGAGGAAGAAAGAAAGAAATCAACCATAGGCAAAGTACATCAGGAATCAGTCTTTGACTTAATGAAATAATTTATTAGTTAACATATGAAAGGGGGGATGAGGAGGGCAGAGAGTATGGGGCTGGGAGTCTAAGTGGGTATTGTCAAGGATGGTTTAGAGGGTGAGGAGAACATGTATACATGTGGTAGAGCAAAAATGTAATCCCAAATAAAAATTAAATTAAAAAAAGACATATTACCCCATCAAACTATCTGTCTATGAAGAGATCCGGTGGATTGCTGAATAAATCTGAAACATGGGGGAAAAACTGAGATACTCAGTTATGGGAGCCATCATCACTTAAAGTGAAGTCACCTAAGGAGAATGTGTGTAGTAAAAAAAAGGAATTGCTAAGAATTGAGACTCCCACCAAAGCCAAGAAAATAAGGAACAGTGGAGGAAAAGAAGGCTACATAAAAGATCTACCAGAGAGTAATAAAAAAAAGGGCATAAAAATATGGTGTCATGAAGGGCATGAATGTGGAATTTCAAGAAAATATGGATGAGTAAATATCTTATAACCAGATAGTTATGAGTTAAGGATTAGACAGGAGGTAAGGAAAGAGAGATAGTAAGCGCAGGCTCCTCTTTCATAGAGGAGAGAAAAAATAAAAGGAGACAGGAGCAAAAAGAGACACAGAATTAAAATAATTTTATTTTTATTGTAATGAAAGGAGCAAAGTTTCTAAGCTATCATAGGGCTCTAGAAAACAAAGAGCAATTTAAGACATGATGGGAGAATGAAGGAGCAAGAACAGGGGAATGGTGAGAAAGACAGAATTAAAAGCATGGGAGGCAGGTTGCTTTGAATAGAAAGAGGGACCTCTCATCCTCTGTCTGGAGGCAAGAGTTTGCAGAATTAGATGGAGACAAGTTAGTACACAGTGAGGAGGAATTGAGACAGATACAGAGTAATGGCCTCAGTTTTATCACCATGTGTCAATAAAATGATAGTCCAGCCATTCATTAAGAGTGGGGAGGGCAGGGATTAGGAAGGCAATTCAAAACTGTACTGAAATTTTGGAAAGTATTGTGCGAAGGTAGGGAGAAACTAGCCAAGACCTGAGAGATGGGTGACACTGAAGATCCAGATAAGGCTGGAGACCTCTAGTTTGTAGTGGTTCCCCAAATATTGGTTGTACCAAACCACACGCATATATACACACATATCTGGAGAGGCTGTGTGATCCTTTCCAGCAGCACCTAGCTCTCTAGGTAGAGGAGAAATAAAGGAAGGATCACCATAAGGTAAAAAAAAGTTTTTGTTGAATAGGTGTTGAGACAATAAACTATGGGATGCAAAATGGAAAAGAGTAGGAAAAGAAGACAGACAAGAAATGAACAGACTATCAGGAAGAACGTGGGTAGTGTTGTATATGTACCTGTGTATGCAAGCATATGTGTGCATGTGTGCATTTTTATACATTACAAATTATCCTATAAATATATAATAAACAACATTTTTCTTTAAATATAGGTGCCTAATTCTGTACTTCAAACTAAATAAGCAGAATATACATTGTATTTATCAAATGCAAGTAAAATACAGTCCTTTAAACTTAGGGTTTTTAAAAGAGAAATCTTTTTGCTCAGAGCCTTTTATTTTCCTCACAAAATAATCCTGTTTCCATCCATCTTTCTGCTGGGACCTCTCCTTCAGAAAGACAATTAACTGGGTAAAATCAGGGAAGCCATGAGCCTACACCAATGACAAATAAGCTCATTCAGTAATTGAATTTGATGAGAGGCATAATTTCAACTTATTGGGATCATGACCAGGCCTAGTTGACAGTCCAGTGAGTGCATCTCAAGTCCTCAGAACAAATATTCAAGCCTCTTGCCCTTTAACCAGGCGTCTCACTTGAATGCTGAGACCTGATGGGGTCAGACTTGCTCTCTGGCACTACTGGTGTAGAAGAGCAAAGTAAACAGATGAATCCTAGGCAATTGTGTTTGTTGAATCTCGAGATAAATAGCCGGTCACATATTTTAAATCCTGTGCATATGGAACACCTACATTAAAATCCTTAACCAAATTGGGGGGGGGGGCCGAGGGGGGGATGTCTACTGAAGGGAAAGTACATTCACTCGTCGCCTCTTTGCACCTGGATGGCAGAACGGTTTTTCCTTAGTTTAGAGTTTGGGTCAATGGGGGAGAAGCAGTCACCTGAGAAGGGAAAATCAAAGCACCAAAAGAATTGTCTATATTGAAAGGTCCCGGGATTGCCTATCGGACCTATCCTTCTTATTTCACAAAAAGTGAACCCCCCAAATTTTTAAAAATTGTTTAATAAAGCATTCAGCAAACGTTTACCAAAAGACAAATATTTACAGGACGTTTCCGCCCTACTGCTTTTCCTCCCTGAATGGCAGGACCTCTGCATGCGCGCAGGCGCCTTTTGGGGGCAGGGAACCCAGGGCAGCTCAGTTTCCGAGCCCCAAAAGCCCAGAATTTTTTTTAACTGCTTGCCTGACATGGTCACATCTCTAGTTAGAAAATCAGAAGACAGCCCAGTCTCTTGATACCTTTCAAAATACCAAAAGCCAAGAAAAGCTCCTCATGTTATAAAAATGTCAAACAGGGCCTCCCTGGTGGCGCAGCTGTTGAGCGCTGGGTTGCGAAGCTGCCCGCAGCCTCTTGCAGAGGTTCCATCCCCCGCCGCCGGGCGAGGGTCCCACATGGTGCGCAGACCTTGCTGCTCCCCTCAGCAGTGTGTTTCGTCAGTCTGCCTGCTCTGCTCTCCCCTCTGGCTCTGGTGAATTCTCTCACCCTCCCGTGCTTCTGACTGTACCCAGAGCTTGTATAAACAAACAAACAAATAAATAAGATCAGGACTGTGATCTGTTAAAAAAATAAAATAATAAAATAAAAATGTCAAACAGCATTCTTTCCAGTGCTCTCTGAATAGATCAGCATAAAGATAAAAGTCAAGATTCAAAGCATGTAGAAGGAGAACTGCAGAAACATGACAACAAACACCGGCTTCCCCAGCGTAGGGTTCCACAAACACACTACTGGTGCCTGGCTGGTACGCAGCTTTATGGGACTCAGTCATTCCTACATTCCTGGTTCATCTTGATCAACTTTATTAAAAGCCCCAGTATCACCTGTCTTCTGTGGTTAGATCCCTCTTCCCCTGGCCTTATTCTTATTCCTGATGACATAAAGTGCGTATATGCTCTCAAACTCTTTTTATTAGGAAGGAGCCATTTCTTTATTTTTACTTTACAAAATGTAATTAAAACTTTTGGAATAAAAACTGAAATAAAATATTTTCATTAAATATATCAGAGGCATCTACCCTTGTCAATAAAGCAGCCAGGTAACTGGTGCTACTTTCCAAACCTGATTAGCATCACTTTTAAATTTTGATGATTTAGATCAAATTTAACAACCTCACACTTGTCCCTCTCCTGCTTCACAAAATAAAATTGAGTGTAGAATCAGTAGTTACCTGGAGGTGTTGAATTTTGCTGTGACTGATGTAGAGACTCTTGGTGGTGGCAGGAATCCCTGATGGCAGCTCTGTTAGCCTGTAGCATTGCACCCACTGTGCTGAATCGCAGCTGCATCTTCTAGGGCAGTCAGAGTTGAAAGCCTTGCTAAGAGAGAGCAAAACAAGGAAAGGATAAAGCAGATACATCTTCTAAAACAGTGCCTCTGCACTAGCAGGCGAGTGTTTCTGTGATAGCTCACTCTTTATACTATGAAATCTGATAATAGAATCTTATGAATGTGTACTCTGTCAGTGTAAGAAGACAGGGAAGAAAAATTCTCCATTTGCCTAGGTTAAAATATTAGCAACCATTACAAAGAAGAGGGGCTTAAACATTGATAAGCTGCCTTAATATCTCTAGGTGAGCAAAACCCTATGTTATTTATGGCTTAGAAGGCTGATCAGCAAACACCTTTATTATCTGTAGTTTCCTTGTTTTGTTAAATGTGACACTAGGGAATGAGTGGGAAAAGATAAAAGTGTTGTTTTATAGTGGGCTGTAAAACCTTTGAATTTTCTGTGACCCTATATTAAAACAATTTTTTTTGGGTAAGACTTTGGGCAGGTGTTTTCTTCTCATATTAACTAGTAAGGGGATATTGGCAGGTCTTCTACTTACTTTGTTTGAGTAACATTTTATTGCTAGAAAAACAATGGGGTGCAAAGGAGGGATATTTAGACTAGAGATAACTTGTTTAAATCACTAATCACTTGATCCATGCAACTGTTTTAGAAAATATTTTTGACATTCAAAAATATTGTTAGTTTATAGAGAATAAGACATCAAAATGGGTCTGTTTTATTCATCTATTTGTAAGAATGGAGAAAAAACCCTCTAGTTTCTTCAGAAGAATTTGTCTGTTGTGAAACCTGATAAAGAGGAAAAACTTCACTTGTCCTGGCTGTGCCTTTGTTGTGACCTTTGTCTTGCTAAGTTCATCCCTGCCGAGAAACTTCAAAGCATTTTAAGTGAAAGATTATATCAAGAACATCTCTCCCCGAAAGCCTGATACCTAAGCTTTCTCAAGCTGTTCTGATCAGAAGATGGCTCTAAAGAAACCTTTCAAATATTGAAAAGCCTCTCTGATCTCCTCTTCAACCTTACCATCTCTTTGCTACAATTTTCATTTTGAAACCAAGTTTCCTTGATCTATTGTAATTACCAATTCATTTCCAGAGAGAGGATTTTTGTGTTTTTCCCAAAAGACTTTTCTACTTCCCTTTTCTCATTGTGTCTCCTGTTTTCCTTTACTATCAGAGACAAGGAATGGTAAGATATTTCTTTTCTGTCAACATCCAGACGCTCAACTAACTTTATTATTTATGTCTCTTATCTAGTAATAAAATAATTTTAATTTTTAGAATTTTCAAATATCAAAGTAATGAACAATAAAAGACAATTTTGAAAAAATACAGAGAAAAAAAAATCACCTGTAGCCTTGTCCCCAAATCATATTTCCAGTTTCTTTTCTCTGCCTAGGCTTTTAAAAAGCAAAGAGGAATTGTCATTGTGCAGTGCCCCCACTCCCCAAGTACCATATTACTAAAAAGCAAATTCATATTTAGTTACCATAAGCCTAAATGCGAAACATACTGTTCTTTTCTCTAAAAAGGACTTAACACATTTTCTGATCATCATTACAGCAGATCCTTGAAATAAAGTCATTTTGTTCAACATTGTTTCATTACAACATCCATGAGGGAAAAAAAAAACCAATGGCCAGAAGCTCTGCCAGTGTGTAGTTTGCATGTTCTTCCCATGGTCCTGCGGATTTTCTCTAGGTACAGTGGCTTCCTCCCACATCCCCCAAATGTGCACATTATGTTCGTAAGTGTGTCTAAATCATCCCAGTCTGAGTGTGACTGTGAGTGCTGGTGCCTCCTGAGATGGAAAGGCGTTCTGTCCAATACAGTTTCCTGCTTTACTCTCTGAGCTGCTGGGTGGTCTGAGGCCACCTTATTCCAGGAATGAATACAAATTTTCGTCAAATATGAGAAGTATCTTGGGTCTTCATTTAGAAGTTTGATGATACTTTCGTAACCAGAGATATGTCAGGAGCTCGACTCTCGTTTACATTAATTAGCTTTGTTAAAATTGGTTTCACTATACATTGTTTTGCTTAAAGTCCCAAGAACCTATCTAGACATTAAATGAGGACTTGCTATATTTTACTTCTTTGGGTGAGGAGAAACCTAGTAAAAGTATGAAAACTGAATTTGGTTTGAATGAATTTGGTTTGAATTCTTTTTTTTTTTTTTTATAGAGGCATGTTTTATTTATTTATTTGTTTGTTTGTTTGTTTGTTTGTTTGTTTTGCTTATACATGCACTGGGTACAGTCAGAAGCACGGGAGGGTGAGAGAATTCACCAGAGCCAGAGCAGGGAGCAGAGCAGGCAGAAGGACCGAAGTACACTGCTGAGGGGAGCAGCGGGCGGCAGGAGAGGTCTGTGCGCCATGCGGGACCCTCCTCTGGTGGCCGGGGAGCAGCCGGGGATCGAACCGGCGTCGCAGAGGCCACGGGCAGCCTCACAACTCAGCGCTCAACCGCCGTGCCACCAGGGAGGCCCTTCTTTTTTTTTTTTTTTTTTTTTAAGATTTATTTATTTATACAAGAACTGGGGCACAGGCCAGATGTGCAGGAGGGTAAGAGGATTTACCAGAGACAGAGTGGGGAACAGAACAGGCAGACTGACTGAAATACACTGTTGAGGGGAGCAGCAGGAGAGACAGGAAAGGTCTGCTTGCCATGAGGGATTCTCGCCGGCAGGGATAGAATCCGCGCTGCAGAGGCTGCAGACAGCTTCACAGTGAGCCACCAGAGGAGGCCCTGAGTTTGAATTCTGTATGATTTGTTGATACTGGAGCCTGGGTCCTCCTTCACTTGCTTTCTTAACTCTACCCACCCCTATTCTTCCTGCCTCTCTCCCTTCTTTCCTCACTTCCTCTCTTCTTCATTCCTATAATTCAGTGGTTCTTCACTCCGTCAAGTTGGAAACATTTTTTAGTACAATAAAGTGATGACAGCTCACTGGCCTCAGAGGGCAATGGCCAAGGATACTACTCAACACTCTACAAGGCACAAGACAGACCCACAACAAAGAGTTATTCAGCCCAATATGCTAGTAGTGTCATTGCTAGAATACCCTGCATTAAACACAAATAGGTGCCTTTATGTCATGGATGTTGGCCTTCCTTGGTTCAAATATGAACAGTCCCCAACTTGTAGTGACAAATGTCCACTATAGAAGTCTTTTCACCCTACTCCCTCTGCTCACCAAAGCCACAAATGCGGAATGATTTTTGAGTAAGTTACAATCAACTGAGAACCACATAAATTCTATTCCGAACAACCACTGTGACATGGTTTTTGGTGTGATTGTTTTACTATACTTTTCGGACTTGTTTGTTTAGAAGACTAAAAATTGTAAGTACTTAAAGTATTTGTATACCTTGTAATATAAATGCCAAAAAAGGTAATTAATGTTGAAGGGTATTTGGAATGCAATTGCTTGGACTCTTTTTAGAAGCAATCTGTAAGAAACACAAGTGATACAGGCTGATGAGGGGGAGTCTGTGTTTGATCTGTGAAGTCTGGCAATCTGAAAAATAAACAGAGAGTTGACAGTGGATGAAAAAGGAAGAATCAATGATTAATAAACTGATACCATTGATAAATAGTGGTTGTAGATAAAACTGGATCAAACCTGGAGTTGTGGGAAAGGGTAAGTGAAGAATGTAGATCAGGTAACACTAAAAGGAGTGATAGTCAGTCTGAGAGTGCAAAGGAATTATAGTAGCAGGGATTATAAGTAGCAGGGATTATAAAAATTGCTTTTGTTATGTTTTGTTTTTAAGTTTGGGTAATATTGTACAAAATAGACTATCTCATAAATGTTTAGTAAGGGAGAGGTAAAATAATTTTAAAGCCTAAATTATACTGATTTTTAAATGAAATCAACCAGATCATGTTAAATTAACTTTTCTCTCAGGCTGGGAAAAATAGTCCTTGGATTTTAAAAAGTAACAGGTATTTCCTAACTCCTGAGGAAATATAAAAATATGTTTAGCTCTGCTGGTTAGTAGTTCTTTTTTTTTTTTTTTTTAAAGCTTTTTTTTTTTTAAGATTTATTTATTTATTTATACAAGCACTGGGTACAGTCAGAAGCACGGGAGGGTGAGAGAATTCACCAGAGCCAGAGTGGGGAACGGAACATGCAGACTGACAAAGCACACTGCTGAAAGGAGCAGTGGGAGTGGCAGGGGAGGTCTGCGTGCCATGTGGTACCCTCGCCGGAGGCCGGGGATTGAACCGGAGGCCGGGGATTGAACCGGAGGCCGGGGATTGAACCGGAGGCCGGGGATTGAACCGGCGCTGTAGAGGCTGCAGGCAGCTTCGAAACCCAGTGCTCAACCGCTGAGCCACCAGGGGAGGCCCTGGTTAGTAGTTCTTAAAGATGTCTTGAAAAGTGACAGTGTTCAGAATCTCCTAGGGTGACTACTGTAATATCTTAATTACTGAACTGATTCCACAGATATTTTCAGCATTAGGCCCTGTGTTAGATTCCTGGGATGCAAAGTTAAGCAAGATACAGTTATTGCTGCCAAGGAGTCAGGTATAAATAAGTACCATAGCAGGTATTTACAGAAAACTAAGCAAGCATGGAATACATAGCTCCAAAATTTTCATGTTGTAAGAATGAGAATAGTTATTTCATATGTATATATAAAATAAATGATGAGGATAATGAGGCTAATAAATCATTTGGAATGCACAAATTTACTTCTTCTAGGTTTATCTCAAATATTCAAATTGTTGGTAAGTGTAAATGATAAATAATACTTACGAATATGATAGTCTACAATTTCCCCCACAATGCTCAAGTAAAACGGTATGAATTTTTCTTGGCTTTATTCATCATACCACTAATGGAGATTAAAAGAAACAAGTGAAGCTTAGTACTGGTAGTTTCCTTTTCCAATCCAAGGTGGATCCTCAATGGACATTCACTACTGTGCTATTCCAATTAATGATGCTTTAATAAATGTTTGTACTATACAGTAACCTCACAACAATAACATGTTGCTACCAAATACATTTTTTAAATTTTCTGTTTTTATCTAGTTTCATTATTATTTAAAGTGGTAAATATTTTTAGTAAAAATTTACCTTATTTAGAGTGGTAAAAATCTGTAGGTATAGGTTCCTTAAACAAGACTGTCATGTATACAAGTTACATTACAAGTTTATAATCACATTAGCTTGATCCATGATGTAGTTATTGTAAGTTTCTTCCAATGAAATTTCAAATAGAAATGTAATGATTTTATTATCTCTAGGAAAGTAAATTGCACAAGTATTCAGATTACTTAAAATTACAAATTCCAGAGAGGGTAGATAAGGCAGTGACTGTAGGTGGAGCACACTGACAACAGATGGCAGCATTTGAACATCCATCTCTGCTTTTTAAGTTCCTGTAAGGACGCGACTTGCAGGAGTGCAAAATCCCAATCAAAGTCAGCAAAAGGATGATATCTACAAAGATGTACAAATAGGGCACCTAATCAGCATTTGAAGTAGAACCCAGGTGGCAAGTAGATAAGGATATGGCAGCTGCTGCATACTGTAGTGATGAGAAGAAACAATATGAGATAGCAATATTCTGAGACAGAGGGTGTGACTTGTTGGCATTATTAAGAGTTGTAAATAGAAATGGAGTTGGTTTCTACTGTCTTGAACACAGGTGAGTATTCACGAAGGATCAGATCATCGGAAAAAAAAAAACACTAAAAATGCATTTCAACCATACCCATACAATAGAGAAAGAAGTTGAATTTTTTTTTTTAAGAAATGAAATTTACTTCCAAGAGTAGTTCATATAAACTGAAGTATGATTAATGGAACATAAGTATTACAAAGATTTTTGGGGTAATAATTCTTATGTGGTAATCAATTGGCATATACGTGAGAGAAATTATTTAAAAAAAAAAACCTTTGGACTATTTTTCAATGTATTATATTGGTAACTTTTACAAAAAGAAATGGATTCCTTGATATTTTTTACTCCATTGTTAACAGCTAAAAATTTGGGGAGAAAGCCATCTAGATTGAAATCTCACCTCCCTCAATTTTTAGCTATTTTTCTTTACCAGTGCATTTAAGCTCTGGATGACTAATCTACAAAAAGGTGAAAATAACTACCTCAGAGGATTTTGTGGGGTGGTGGGTGGGGGGGTACTGATAGACGTAAACTGCACACTGGTTAACATAAAGTCTGTACACAAACAATTGAAAGCTATTGCTATCCTGATTGTATCTAAGTGCCCAGCTCCCAATTTCACTCCATTTTTATTGTGCTAACATTGGTTTACAACACTGTATGTGATTCATAGGCATAGATTCACACTTCCTCAGATGTATATCACCACACCACAGCCACCATCAAGTACCCTCAACCCCTCACCATAATCTTTGCTGCTCCCTCCCTTTTTTTGTATCTCCCTTTTCCTTCCACAGTCAGATTTTTAGCGTTTGTTAACAGTTTATTTTATCTAATTTTTTTTCTATATTTCATATGAGTAAAACCAGCTGGTATTTTTCTTTCTCCTTCTGACTTATTTCACTTAGTATTATCCTCTCCAGTCCATCCATGTTGTTGCAAATGGTAAGACCTCACCTTATAGTTGAATAGCATTCCATTGTATATTGTATACAACACATTTCTAATTCACTGTTCTGTCCTTGGATCCTTAGAAAGTTTCCACAACTTGATTGCTATAAATAGGGCTGCACATGAACAAAGGAGTGCATGTATCTCTTTGAATTAGTGTTTTTTGCATTCTTTGGGTACTTATGAGTGAGATTTCCAGATATATGGTAGAACTGTTATTAATATTTTGAAAAACCTCTATAGAGGGACTGGATCAGTCCCACTAGCAGTGTACAAGTCTTCTTTTCACTTTACATCCTTGCTAATACTTGTCTCTGGTCTTTTTTTTTTTTTTTTAAATGTAGATTTTCTAATTCTTTTTGTTTTTAAATATTTATTTATTTATTTATTTATTTATTTATTTATTTATAGAAGCACTGGGTACAGTCAGAAGCATGGGAGGGTGAGAGAATTCGCCAGAGCCAGAGCAGGGAGCAGAGCAGGCAGAAGGATCGAAGTACACTGCTGAGGGGAGCAGCGGGCGGCAGGAGAGGTCTGCAGGCCATGTGGGACCCTTCTCCTGTGGTCGGGGAGCAGCCGGGGATTTTGATACAGGCCATTCTCACTGGTGTGTTTTGTTTGTCTTTCCCTCTAGCTCTCAATTTTAAATTATTTACTTCAAGTTCCTGGGGATGCATTGCTAACTATATCATGTATAGAAAGTGGTTGGGAATTTGATAGGTGTAGAATAATGTTCTTGCAAATATTGCAGATAAAATAAAGTCAATTTGGGGCCTCCCTGGTGGTGCAAGGGGTTAAGACACAACCTATGAAGCTATCTGCAGCCACTGCAGCACGAGTTCCATCCCTGGCCAGGGAGCTACCCACATTGCGCAGCAGACCTCTCCTGACTCGCCTGCTGCTCCCCTTGGCAGTCTATTTCAGTCAATCTGTCTGTTCTGTTCCCAACTCTGTCTCCGGTGAATCCTCTCACCCTCCACACCTCTGGCCTGTACCCCAGTTCTTGTATGCATAAATAAATAAAAAAAATCTTTAAAAAAGGAGAAAAGAAAGTCAATTTGGAAGGAAATGAAGATGCAAATTTTAGTTTTATATTGTCTATTGTGTATGAAAACTTGTATGAAAGCACCTATTTAAGCTCAAAAGGCAAGGCTCTCATGGTTAGTTTTGCTAGGCTAAGTTGGCTAAAGTCAAAGAGCTTTATTAAAACTGATGCTAACCTGGGCCTCCCCGGTGGCGCAGCAGTTGAGTGCTGGGTTGCGAAGCTGCCCGCAGCCTCTGCAGCGCCGGTTCGATCCCAGGCCGCTGGGTGAGGGTCCCACATGGCCCGCAGAATTCTCCTGCCGCCCGCTGCTCCCCTCAGCAGTGTACTTCGTCAGTCTGCCTGCTCTGCTCTCCCCTCTGGCTCTGGTGAATTCTCTCACCCTCCCACACTTCTGACTGTACCCAGTGCTTGTATAAATAAATAAATAAATCTTTAAAAAAAAAAAAAAAAAAACTGATGCTAACCTGTCTGCCCTGCAGTACCCAGAGAGCAAACTAAAGCTGTGATTTCTCAATCTTCATTGGCATTGCTTTGGTGAAGGGCACACAATACAAATTTTGTATTGTGTGGCAATTAATTAGAAGAGTCTGTTCCATTAACTGAATGCATAAGAATCTGTGATATCCAGTAAATTAAGCCTCCAGGCAATGCAGGAGAGACTGTTCCTATCAGCCTAGTCTAATCAGACTGGTTTCTCGTCTTTCTACAGACTGGGCTACTCTTGAAAGGTGGCTGAGAGTGAATGTGCAGAATGGTAAAGAGGAGTTGCTAAACATTCCTAAAGGTATAGCAAAATTAAAGTTGTAGTTACAATGGTTAGACTCATTAGCCTATGAACTCTGCTCCAGTGGACATATTTCATTTTTTTATGTCACTGAATCCTCAAAAGGGCTCTGCAATCAATAGTTAGGGGTATTTGGATCTTTTGTTTTTCTAAGATGTCATGTATGAAAACACTACCAGTTTTTGATATAACCCGGCAAACACTTTTACTTTCAAAATGTATGACCTATAGTATAATAAGGAATACCAGTTGCCAAGCACCAAAACTAAGCATTTTACCTTATGATTGAGCCAAGTAAAATTTGAAAACTGGCTTCGAGATTAAATAAATAATACCACTAAATTGAGAAATGTGTCAGGGTGTAACACTTGAACCCAGGCCTGCCAGGTTCTTAATCACAAGGCAAAAGGTCTCGTGTCAACACAACAAAACCGAGTCAGTCGCTGCACTTCAACCTGCAGCTCTAGTCAGTTTCCACCCGTAATTTAGGGCCAGGTTGACGAAGATGAGCCAGCGTGGCCGTTCCCCCCACCCACCTCACCCTCACCAGGAACTAGAATGGAAGAGGGGAAAAGTGGCTACTGCGCATGCCCACACCACCCTGCTTTGCGCTCCCTTCTCCGTCCCTGGCTGCGACAGCAGCAACTTTTCCGGGCCACTTTAGAACGGCTCCCGCCCACTGTGAAGTCAAACGGGCGGAAGCCGTTCTCTCTGCAACGTGGACGCCTTTTTTTTGCGGCAGACTTTTCCAACTAGGAAGCCGACACCTTGCGTCCCGTTTCTCGGGGGTTCAAGTTGGAGTTTGCCAGTTGTCAATATGGCCGCTGACAGGACGGCCCCAAGCAGAGGCCTCTCATAGGTCGGGTCTCATCCTAGCCCCGCCCACCCCGTCCCTCCCGGCCGCGGCCGCCGTCTCCCGTGCGCAGGCGCAGCGGGGGCGGGCCGGGAGATGGGACGGCCCGAGTCTTCCGTGTGCCACGGCTGTCGCCTTAGCCTCGCGGCTCCTGCCACTCGGTGCCTGCAGTGCCGGCGTTACCCGCGCGGGCTGTAGGGAGAGCGCTGCCGGGGCGCGCGCGCGGGGGTCCCCGCAGTCCCAGCAGTTCCTCTCGCGCCGGGTGGGGCGGCGGGGTTCAGCAGCAGTCGGGAGAGGCCCTAGACGGCGCCATGTCGGCGGGCGGTCAGTGCCCGGCAGGAGCCGGAGGGGGCCCCGGGGGTGCCTCCTGCGCCGTGGGGGTCTCCCCTGGCGGAGTATCCATGTTCCGGTGGCTGGAGGTGCTGGAGAAGGAGTTCGACAAGGCCTTCGTAGATGTGGATCTGCTCCTGGGCGAGATCGATCCGGATCAGGCGGACATCACTTACGAGGGGCGACAAAAGATGACCAGCTTGAGCTCCTGCTTTGCACAGCTTTGCCACAAAGCTCAGACTGTGTCCCAAATCAACCACAAGCTAGAGGTGAGCTGTGTATGTTGAAGGGGGTGGCTTTCAACCCCAGGCAGCTCCGATGGCATGAGATCCCTTGGAACGCATCAGTGAAACGACCCTAGAAAACTGCTCTTTGGGGAGCCTGGGCTCCAGATGTGCCTGGGGAACACTTGTGCATGTGGGTGAAGGAAAGGAGTGAGATGAGGCTGGAGTGGAAACGAGTGTAAATTGACGAGTAGGTCTCCGGGGTCCTGTCATACATCTTCCTTGTATGTTTATGAGGAGGAAAGAAAAATTAGTTACACCAGCCTATAGGAGCATATTACATTAACAGACCCAGGACTTAGGCGCAAAAATTCTGTCATAAGACAAATTTAATCCACCTATTAACATTTTGTAGGTAACTGGATAGACTAGTTCGTATATGCCAGACAGATACAATCATTATTTTTAATTATTAAACATCAGTGTCTGTCGTTGCACACATACTATTCCCCTGCATGCATGATTTAGAGGAATTTGATCAACGCTCTTAGGAAAATTTAGTGGGATAAACACATAGTATCTGTGTCTGTCTCGGTTTACAGTTGGTCTTTATATTACAGGGCTCCCAACAATTATGCAAATGACTTCTAACTTAGCTTGTTTGTACTTCACTGCGTTTCCCGAAGTTAGGGTTTATTTTTGAGAATTGTGTAAAGAATGTCATTTGCACCCAAGTCTCTAATCTTGAGTGCAGGTATCAATGGGGTAGTGGTGTTTCTTCAAAAAAACAAGTCTACATTGTGCAGAAAATTAAATGATTGCATTATTATAGTATTTAGAAAAGACAGATTAACACTGTTGCAAAAAGAGCATTTTCTAACTAGATAAATAAGAAAATGAAGTTTTCATTTAAAAGTAGATAAAAATAGTACAGTGATATGCAAAGCTTTTAAATGTTAGCAGTCCTAAGAAATCATCATTGCTCATCAGTTGTAATAATTTAAAGTATCCATTGACTCCATATCAGAATGAATGTCAAATATTTATCTTTCCTAGCTTAGTGATTACTATCTTTCTATTTCCTGTCAGCCACGAAAAAGGTGGCTAGACTTAATTAGCATAAATTTGCATGCTCGAGTTGAGTAACTTCGCTGATTGTTAATTTCTTGCTCTTTTTTTGAAAAATTTGAAATAGAATGCTGATATGAAGGTAATTGTATATTATTCTAGGTGTATGAAAACAGCTCTTGATTTTTTTAATTAGTGGTAATTTCTAGAAGGTAGGTTTTTTTTTTTTCCAGGTAGTGAAATTGCAGTTGATGGTTTTTAGAAAAAGTGCTCTAGTTTTGAAGAACTGAGTAAGGGTAGCTTTTGCCAAAAGGAACTTTGTATCATTTACAACTGGAAGTATCTATTGAGGATAAACAGCCTTTGAAAAATAATATGTAATTCATTTTTTAAGTGACTTGAACTTTAAACAGTAATTTTGATGTGAGATATAAATTCTAATTTTGGAGAAAGGATCATTCTGTGAGTAGGAGGTGCTCAATTTTTTTCCACCTTTAAATATTTTAGAAGAGTATTAAGAGCTATAATAAATTATACATGTCTTTTTTTTTCCTGGAAATTATGATTACCTGGTCTTGACTCCATGTCCTGACTTAGGAGGTGTTATTTCTCAAAATAAGAATGGTTGACATAGTACATCACAAACATGCTTGAAGTCCTTGATTTAAAGATAAAAAATGTGGAGGGAAGAGACTGTCTTTAGTTTTTTGGTTTGTGTGTTTTTTTAGTTACAGTTGAATTATCTGCCTGTGGGGTTAATCCTTCCATATTTGGTAGTTTCTGCAGTTTTCATGTTATGTATTGCTGAGGAGAGAAGGTCATTGTCAGTGCCTTTCAAAACAGATCTACTGTTGTGTAGAGTTTAAAAAGCTGTTCCACATACAGTTATCTTTCTTCTGAGATTTTGAAATATTAGAAAAGAGTTCCATTCCTTGTTGCCCTATTTTAGGTTTTCCTAAGTAGATTGACTACGTTCTCTTGTTTTAAGGATATGGACATTTAGACATATTTGAGGTCATTTATGGTCTGATGTAACAAAGGTGTGTGAAGTTCAGTGGTTTTAGAGATCAATACCCTAAACCATATTACCATAAAAATATTTTTTATTGTCAAGACATAGGTACTTCCATTATGGGTAATCTATAATATATTCACATTGGTCTTGAATATCCTTCCAAATTGCCCCTTCCACCTAGTCAATTGTTTTTAGATAACGCCATGTTTAATATAAATGTAGTAGTTAGGAAGACAGTTTTACTGCAAAGAAAAATCATAGCTTACATCATAAAATTAAGTAGAAATGACATCCTTGTGACTACTTCTATATATGTTATATTTAGAAAGAGGGATATCTAGAAGGGGAAACGGAAGGCAGAGAATATAAGAATTCTTGGAGATAATGCTGTTTCAGATTACTCATATCTCTCTTACACTTTCCATTTGCTTGAGAATTCCAGCTATGGTGAGCCACTTGGTGACTGCTATGCTGGAGTTACAGATACTATTTGGGATAGTTAAAGTAGTTATTGTAATAGTAGGAGTAGGAGTAGGTGTGTTGGAGTAGAATAAAAATTAAGACTACTTTAGAAAAACTCACCTCTTATCAGAAATACAGTTATCTGCCACTTCAACCTTTGAAAAGAATAGCAGAACATTACACATTTTATAGCCTTCTTTCCCTCAGCATTTCACTCAGCAAGATCTCTGAATCACTTTTTTTTAAAGATTTATTTATTTATGCATACAATAACTGGGGTATAGCCAGAGGTGTGGGGAGTGAGAGGATTCACCAGAGACAGAGTGGGGAACAGAACGTGCAGATTGACTGAAATACACTGCTGAGGGGAGCAGTGGGCAAGTCTGCTGCGCCATGTGGGTTACCTCCCTGACCAGGGATCAAACTTTTGCTGCAGTGGCTGTGGATTGCTTCATAGTGCTGTGTCTTAACCCCTTGTGCCACCAGGGGAGCCCCACTCTCTCTCCCTCTTTTTTTTTTAAGATTTGATTATTTTTGGGCCTCCCCGGTGGCGCAGCGGTTGAGCGCTGGGTTGCGAAGCTGCCCGCAGCCTCTGCAGTACCAGTTAGATCCCCGGCTGCTCCCTGGCCACTGGAGGAGGGTCCCACATGGTGCGCAGACCTCTCCTGCCGCCCTCTGCTCCCCGCTCTGGCTCTGGTGAATTCTCTCACCCTCCTGCGCTTCTGACTGTACCCAGTGCTTGTATAAATAAATAAATAAATAAGTCTTAGGGGGGAAAAAGATTTATTTATTTTTATAGAAGAACTGGGGTACAGGCCAGAGGTGTGGGAGGGTGAGAGGATTCACCAGAGACACAGTGGGGATCAGAACAGAAAGATGACCGAAATACACTGCTGAGGGGAGCAGCGGGCATAACAGCAGAGGTCTGCCATGCCATGTGGGAATCTCCCTGGCCGGCTGGGAATCAAACCCACACTGCAGAGGCTGCAGACAGCTTCCCAGCGCTGCGCTCAACCTGCTGCGCCGCCGGGGAGGCCCTCCATGCTCTCTTTTTAAAGTGATGTATTTGCAATGGTCAGTCGACAAACTTTTTAACTTTTGTCTAGAGCCATGTTCATAATGAACTGATAATTTACTCTCCTTGTATTGCTATAAAACTATTCTGTTCTTAAATCATCAGTGAGTCCATTTTGCATCATTGAACTGGAAGTTTAATATTGATCTACTATATATTTATTGAGCACAAAGTACGTGCCAGTGGGATATGATGGTAAAGAAACAGAAATAATCGTCACTGTTAATGGAGTGTGGATTCTATTGGCGTAATTTGTTAGGGGAATAATCACAATAATGTAAAATTACAACTTTGATGAGTGTTATGAAAGGCAGATAGAGTTTTAAAGGCCTTTCTGAGAGAAAAGTAAGTTGAGGCTTCCTTGAGGAAGTGGCCATTGAGTTTAGGTAGAAGAATTGAGACATGAAGATGAGAAGGAATTAATTAGGCTAAGAGAAATAGAAATATCATTCAGCATACCAGTAGGGAACAGGAAGTGGAAAACACTTGTAATGAGCAAGTGCATAATTCATGTGAGATGAAGTTGGATTGTGTTATGAGAGCAGAGGACAAAAGAAATGAGATGTAAAATAAGTTTGAGTAGGTTGGTAGGGTCCATATCTACATGATTTTATAGACTACAAAATAAATAGATGTGGGGGACATTATCCTAACAATGGCAAGTATTTTAAACTAGATAGTTAGTAACCTCAGATAGAATAACTCATTCTGGCTAAACAGGGAGTTTGTACGTGTGCATGTACATATGTATGTATGTATTTTTTTAATATATTTATTTTTTAAAGATTTATTTATTATTTATTTATACAAGCACTGGGTACAGTCAGAAGCGCAGGAGGGTGAGAGAATTCACCAGAGCCAGAGCGGGGAGCAGAGCAGGCAGAAGGACCGAGGTACACTGCTGAGGGGAGCAGCGGGCGGCAGGAGAGGTCTGCGCGCCATGTGGGACCCTCCTCCGGTGGCCGGGGAGCAGCCGGGGATCGAGCCGGCACTGCAGAAGCTGCTGGCAGCTTCGCAACCCAGCGCTCAACTGCTGCGCCACCGGGGATGCCCTGTATGTATGTTTTTATGTGTATATGTATGTAGAGAATTTGTGTGAATGACAGGAATGAATGCAGTAAATCATTTAGGGAACTCTTATCGTGATTCATGTGAAATGAAGATAATGTAGACTAGGATAATGGAGATGGAAGAAATTGTTTAGAACAAGAAAAACATGAAACAAAAATCAACAAGATCTAGCTGTGGGTTGCAGGGGAGGGATAAGGGAATTCAGGATGTCTCCAAGATGGCATTCTTGTGCAGCTGACTGGATAGATTGATGGATGTAAGGTATTATTAGAAATAACTATATTGCTAACCTTGGTCATGTATTATTCTGGCTCTGTCTTAAATCTTTTCCATATACAGATGGTTCACATTTAT